AGAAAACAGTTATATACATAAATTTTTTAAATGCAGTCTGACAGGCTCTGTCACAAATACTATTTTATATCTGGGCCAAAAGCTTTAGTTTTAACCTTAAACTGAAGCCAATTTAATACGTTCCAGTCTGCTCTGCCGTCAGCTTGACTACAAAACCTGTGACATCAGTTGTCCTTAAGTTTCTCGTCGGATTTCTGCTCTGACTTTGTATACTGACAGTCACAGTAACATTCCTCTTCAAGGGATTGCATCAAACACACAAAAAGAAAATGAACAATGAAAGTGAACAGAAGAAAAACAACACTGACACTTGTTCAGGAAACGAAGTGTCAGAAGTTGTACCAATTTTGGAAAATTCATCTCCTAGGAACTGCAAGGACACAGTACAGCATCTGTTTCCTGGACAGAATAGACTTTACTCTTTTCTCTTCAGTTCTTTTCTACTTCTTCTCTTCTTAGCAGCTATGACAGCCTACTGCAGCGAAAGACGTTGCAGTCAAAACTGGGCATCTTTAAGTAAAATTCAACCGAGCTAAAAATAGTATGAATGGAAGCAGTCCACTTTTACAGACCCAGTAGAGGCTTTTATAGTTGAACTCTAACCTGGGAACCTCTAAACTGCAGATTTTCCAGTTACAATCTGACTCTTGGATACCTCCCTGATTATTTCATTTAGGGGTGTCTGAATAGAGGAAGCTCAATGCAGATTTACATGTTTAAAGAGGTTTAAAAATCTGTTTTTTTTTTCTTCTATTTCAGTATTGTGCAACATTTAGTTTTATCACATAGAAGACGAATAAGACACATTAAAGTTTGTGTTTTTATTGTCAAAACATTAAATAGTTAAATGTGCATAATTCAATTTTTAAGTCAGCCTTACCCTGTCACCTTTTATGCCCATATCTCCCTTGAAGCCAGGGAAGCCGTCCTCCCCCTAACGATAGGAAACATAAAAACACAATATGAGAGGTGCAACAGACAAGGCTCTAATAACACTGAAATATTTTGGAAGTCAACATCCCCCTGAATTGGACCCGCACATAAACACAGAGATGTCAAGTCTGATAGAGCAGCAATGAGACAAGAGCCCTTGTTGCCATAGAAACCCTTGATAGACCCCTCTTTTTCCCCAATCTCTGTAGCAGTAAAATTATGTGTCCTGAGATTATCATTGGCAAGCAGAGGCCATCAACCCTCATCATCAGTATAATCACAATCACCGTCATCTCTCTGTTAATTTTACAGTTAAGTCGAATGACTGATGTAGCTTTAGTTCTCCTCCTGTCTGCTTTCTCTTACCTTTTCACCCTTAGTTCCCTTGAGGCCACGGACGCCATCAGCTCCCTGCGATGCAAAATCAGGCAATCAAGAAGTAAATGAGACAATACGGAGAAATAGCAGAGCATTCATTCTTTCAGGTGACAGAACTTCACGATGTGAAAGCTTTTTTCTAATCTAAAGTAAGGCTTCTAAAGAACTGTTTTAAAATTTACTACTGCAGAGGATTCAAAGTTTGCTCGTCAGCAAATCCTTGTCCATCCTCTTAGATTTCAGCCATCTAACAAAGAAAAATCTGGAACAGACGCAAAACCAGTTGAGCCTTCTCAGTAAAAGCTGTAAGATTTGGATCCTCCTATTACCAGCAACTATTTAATGAGATTTGTTTTGTTGTGGTTCTGAATATAGCTGATCAAAAACAAAAGATTGAAAAAAAGGTACATAAAGAGGATGAAAAACCCTCGGATTAACACTATATATCTAAAAAGATGCATGAAGCCCCTAAGCTGGCACTACTACTGTGTTTTTATGGCAATAATTAAGGACTTGATTTGTACCCTTCTCTAAAGCAGCATGTTAATATTGGTTTAAACATTTAAAAAGAAAAGATGTTAACAGTAAATAGCATCCGGTAGCTAACAAAAGTGTCCTTAATAGCCATTACCTCTAAAGTTCTGCTGTAAAAATGTACTTTTTATAAACAAAGATAAACTTACCTTAACTCCTCGGGGCCCAGGATAACCGATGGGGCCTTGAGGACCGGCAGGGCCCTAAAGAGAGAAAGATTTGATTAAAACTAGCATCATACTAATGAAAACACTCAAACAGTAAGAAATGGCCAATTTTTGCCTTGACTGAGCTTGTTGGTGAGAGGCTACATTGAAACATTAAAAGTCTAAACTGTTTTTCTGGTCAGTAAACACACCATATAAAAGGTTGCCAAAAGAGTTGTTATAATCTAGTCACTATATTTTCCTCTAATATTTCTTAAAACACAGCTGGGAGTCAGATCTATAGGAAAAGGTTGTTCAGAATTTTAATAAATTAATATTAAATGAAGGTACATCAGATCAGAGCATGCATATAATAATTTCTCCTGATATTGCATAGAAAAGATTGCCTGCCAGGGGAAAGAGACATATATAGAAATAGTTACATAAAGTCTTACCAAATGGTACATTTTACAGGTGGAAATAAAAGTAGGTAAAGAATAATTGGAAAAGTGTCGGTATGGAATTAGCATCCAACATGGCAAGAAACCTTTGCCAATGCTACCAAGCAAGCCTAACAACACTTTGTGTCATGATCTTGGCTCTGATGGCTGGCCTAATTGTTCACTCCATTCACCTGTCTAATTGCCCGGTTGTTCATTATGGCTCATCTAAACCACCTGCTGCGGCTTCTATTTTTACAGCTCAGTCCCAGCCATCATGGCCAGATTATTGATGCTGATGTTCTTGTTCATGTTCTTGTTCTCAGGGTGCAGTGGAGAGTGTTTTTTAAGCATTCTGTGGTGTTTCTGATTCCCTGACCCTGATCTGTCTCTCATCCACTAAACACGTCTGTTCCTGAATGGTTTCAGCAGAGAGTGCCGTATTTTACCGTCCTGTAGAGTTCCTGATGTCCTCACCTATTCTGCAAACACCGAGGCTGCCTATTCCCATTGGACTGTTCTGCCTGAACTGTCTCTGGAGTCCAAGAAAACCCTGAACCAGTCAGTTCCTGCTTTGATCGGTATCCCTGACTGGGGTCCAGACTCCTGGACCTCTGAGCCTTCCTGTTCTGATCTGTTTCCCTGACCTGGCTCAAACTCCTTCTTGTTCTCCGAGGCTGAAGCATCTGGGACACTCTGGGCGGTACCCGCCCGCCACATCTCCTTGGCAGCCCACCCTCTGGATCCTATCTCGTATTATGGAGATTCATGATTCATTAGTGACTCATATGGATAATCATTCTCCGTCAGATTATCATGGTCGCTAATCTGTGTTTTTCTTTAACTAGAGACTCCAGTCATAGATGTCCTAGCTGCAGCCACTGCTATCTGAAGCCTGCCGCATTCTTACAAAATGCTTCATATTATCCCACTGTATGTCTCGCCTTGAATGCTGGGTCCTTCTGTCCTGCTTTATAACACTTAGTCATGTGGAAGTTTTCCCTTTGGTAAGCAGAAGTGTCCAATGAGGTAATCAGAAAGGTCAGTAAAAGCAAGAAAAGGCTGAGGAGCTAATTTGAATGAAGTGTGCCAGCTCCCCATGGACATTTCATTAAGAGAGCAGGACTTCATCACTTAGGTGGAGAATAATCTTCATTTATGTATTAAAATATATCTAAACTGCCCAAACTAATAATTTAAATAAGAAAGAGAAAAAGGAGCCCAACTCACCATGTGGCCTTTCTCCCCAGTAGGACCCTCTTTTCCAGGGTGACCCTGTAAATCATTGAGAAGAATATTACTGCATGACATTTCAGTACAAATACCACCATAAACACCACAACATCCCTATAACTGAAGGATTAGGCTGTAAAACTGCTGAAGGACAAATCTAACTAGGAAACTGGAAAAGTTGGCCTTTCAGAGGTTCAGCCTCCTTTGGGAGTTTGTTTCCCATTCTTAATGCACAGTGTTGCAGATGCACTCACAGCTATTACTGGGCTCTAAAAGCCTAGACCAAAGCCGCTTTGAGACTTCACAGTACAAATACACATAGGCTGCATGCATGTGATCTAATACACAATGGCGAGATGGCAACAACACCACACAGAACTCACACATGGATGTCCAGTAAAAAGACATCTGGAGGAAAATTGATTGGATTCTCGTGGGACAAAGGAGCTTTGCAAACCCACTGATGGGTTTTTAGCATTGAGACAGAAATGGATACAAAAGAGGAAAGAAATTAGTGGCAGAGAGGAAGCACTAAGGTCGAGAATGTGGCAATTTAAGTTATAGGCAGCAAATGAATTTAAAAAAAAGTCTGGATAGATGGTTGTAAGCTATTTCAAATCTGAAATATAAACCATTAATGGGCTTTGGAGCGTTGTATTAGATTATGCAAGCTCTCCTCTATCTCCTTCTCATCTTTCAATACTTACTCAATTTTTTCATTTTTTATTTTTTTTCTTCCCCTGGAGTTACTAGATCTTAAAGCCCCCCTCTCCTCTATAGAAGGAGCCACCTGGTGATTTCCAAAGAACATCTGTCATTAGCACAGGTGTCACGTCTGTCTGAGATGCAAAGGAGGTTGTTTGCATATATAATACTGTGTGTGTGTGTGTGTGTGTGTGTTGATCTCCTGTTATGGAGCCAAATGAAGATGTTGTATCATCCATATGCCTTATATACTATTATATTATATACTAGTATTCATTAAGGCATTTTACACTCTATTGCTAAAATGTGTATGCAGCTATATGGTATTAAATTAGATGTTTATTTCATAACCAATCCATCCATCCACCCTTACATCAAACCAACCAACCAACCACCCACTGACCAACCAACCACCAACCTACCGACCGACCGACCGACCGACCAACCAACTAAACAGTTTTTGTAGATCTAAATTTTAACTCACCGGAGGTCCATCAGCTCCAGGCACTCCTGGCAATCCAGGCTTTCCAGTTGGACCCTTGAAAAACATCAAATAGTTATTAAATATGATGAAAAAGTTTATCAAATACAAACAAGGGCAGATTTTGAAAGCTAAAGCTAGCAAATGATGCTAAAGCTATAGAAACTGATAACCAGGTATATCTTCCTATTTAAAACGATCTTACAGTTACAGAATATGATTACTTACAAGTAATCATATTCTGTGACAAAAGTATTTGACATTCTGTCACATACTTTACTGTTGTACCAATACAACAATGATATGGTTGAAAATACAAAATGATGGGGAGTGACTTAATTGAACTGAATTTTAAAAAGCCTTTTTTGGTTCGACTCATATGAGTGTAAACCTTTACAGAAGCAGTATCTCTGTGAAACTAAGGGGCACAACTAACTTTTTAAAAAGGTTGCACATGAAGTTACACCAAGACAAAAAAAAAAAGTGAGGAGACATAGCTGAGAAAGAAAAAAAAAGAAAACACTGCCAAAATAATAGAAAGATAAAAAAGAAGTTTGTATCTAGTTTCTCATCCAATATAATTACCAGCTTCTAAATGTAAAGCAAAGTCGGATGGACCTACTGAAGCATTAAAATAATCACTTGATAAGAATTAAAATAGACCAAACTCCAAAAAACCCAAAGGTTTCTACACAAGAGAAATTTTATAGCCATTTTAGATAAAATTTCACCATCTTAAGAAAAATCATTAGCAGCTAGAATGCTAATTTTGGGCAAATTATATTCTAAATTGTGCCATTCAAAGCTTTTCTCTGTTAAAACTTCAAACTTAACGTCACTTTATGTGATCATACCAAATTATAAAAACTGAGACCTTTAAACAAAGCTGTATAACAGACCCCAATGTATGTGTACAATGTATGTATATATATATATATATATATATATATATATATATATATATATATATATATATATATATATAT